TTGTTAATTAACTTTGCATAAATCGTATCCAATTATAGTTTATACAGTATATTTATATATATGAGCATATAATTTATCCGATCTGAATTCAAAGGAAGATTATAATGATTTTTTTCAATAAAGATTCCTAAAGATAACTTCACATAATAACAACTTTTTCTAATTAAATCATATCCTTACTTAAAAGATAATTCAACTTTTGCTTGATCATAACCATTATATGGTTTTTTTATATATATAAGCATATAATTTATCCGCACGTTTTTTTGAAAAGAATATTATAATTAGTTTTTTAAAAGTATAATAAAGATAACTTCACATAATAACAAACTTATCTAATTAAATCATTTCCTTTCTGAAATGATAACTTCAACTTGAACTTGATTACTAATGATCAATATTCCACAAATTAGGGATTCATTTCTTACTCATTATCTTTTTAAAAATATAGAACCTTCGATATTAATAACTGTTGACTGAAATAAGACCTATATAATGCGAATAATTTGTAGTTATTACTCTAACTTTTCTTTCTGTTCTCCCCATCATAATTCCAATAACTTCCAATAAAGCATTTTCTCTCTAATGAATCCCTTACCGAATGATGAACCAAAAAGAAAAAGAAAACACATTAGAGGTTCAATCGCCATTACATCAACCAATGATGAGAATTCAAAGCCCCATTCCATGCATGATTCAAATCACACGACGATACAATCTCAATCGAATTCAACGACGCGGCATTCTTTGCATAATTCCCCCAATACATCATCTTCGAAACGTGATTGCACTTCCCGATTAAACAGCATTGACCGTAATAGACTTATTTTGCCACGAGTTCCATTTTCTAATATTACAAAGCGTAAGTATTTTTATTTCATTTATCATTATCATACTTTCTTTATTATATGCAGAGGAATTTTTCATACTAATACGATATATGATTGTTTTGTATTTTTTTTTTTTTTTGTAGAACCAACTGTTAATCAATATGGGATGCAAACTATGCAAATACCTGGATGGATTCCAACTCATGTTGTCAGTCGATCTGCTTCCAATTACAATACTAATAACATCTCATTCCAAAATATAACACACACTGGATTTGCCGATTTACACAACTGTAAGATGTTTTTTGGAGTTACGATTTGGTTGATTACTTTCTATACTAAATCCCTAAATTTTACTGAACAGTACTTTATTTATCTCTGTTTTGTTGTTTTAAAATTGACATTTTTAAACAAATCCATTGGTTAATTATACTCCAATAAAAAATATTCAGTCCAACAAAGGGAATTATACAAATGTTACAAGGAAAGGTGGTTCCAGTCACAAAAATGCATCGTTCGTCGCGGGAAGTACGCATAACTCTTTGTATTCGGCTACTCAAAACAATAATTTTGCATTATCTGTGAATACTTCGTATAATTTTTTATTGCAAAAAACTTTATCTTTAATCAGCATAAACCCTTTTTAGATTTTTCGATTCCCGAATATAAAAATCGCGCTTTTTAATCAACATTACGTACAATTTTTTAGTTCTTTTGGGGTTCATTTCGGCGATATGAAGGAAACATTAAGTACAATTTTTTAGTTCTTTTTGGGGTTCATTTCGGCGAATTTTTTACCTTTTTGTACTTTGGAAGTTTCGTTAATTTCACTGTACATATATGTTATTTATACATTTCATAATTTTAATGTTTTATTTTGACATATTGAACAATATATTGTGATCTGTCTACTAAAAAATTGCAAGAAAAAAACGTTTGTGACAGCTCGCTGTTTACCAACGTGCGGGTAAAACGTTTGTGGCAGCTCGCTGTTTAAAACAGCTAGCTGTCTGTGTGAATTTTGTTTTTTCCATTTCGATTTTTTCCAAGGATTTTGCAAGTTTTCATTATTTGCCCCTATATTTTTTGTTTAGTTTTTCAATTGTGTTTGGTTTGATTATTAAATTATATAATTGAATTTCAGACATTTTATTGATTTATTTTATCAAAATATAGTTACCTTTTTTGGGGGGGTTTATTTGTCGTTTTATTTTTTTTCCTTTTTGTAGTTTCAAATTTTCGTTAATTTTCCTCTACAGATATTTTATTAATACATTTCCTGAATTTTCGTGCTTTTATCTTGAATTATGGAACACTATATTTTGATCTGGCTACTCAAATATTAATGAAAAACTAAATATATGTGACAGCTGGCTACTTAAAGTAGCTAGCTATCCGCGTTCCCCTTTTTTTTTACTTCAGATATTTTTTAGGGATTTTTCAAGTTTTTGTTATTTAGCTTTATATTTTTTTGTTTAGTTTTTAGATGGTGTTTGGTATTATTATTAAATTACATATACTGAACTTTTATTTTCCATAAATTTTATTCTTTTGTATATATAGAACTGCCTCTGCCTCCATTGGGAAATCAAAATATTCACTGTTCGAAGTGGATTCCAAATTCATCAGAACTTAGCTATATTTCGAGTGTCAAACCTGTCAGCGGTCCATTTCAAAATATAGGACCATTTTTAATTTTTTGTCCTATACTGTATAGGCATTGAACTATCTAAGGAGGATCTTCATGATTATACACTTGCTGAGGTTGAGAAATTGCTACGAAAGCTTGGAAGCACGCTAAAAAATTTCTCAGATATGCCTTATCCTCAATATCACGTTGATCCCAATTTTTCAAATCAGCTCATTAGCATGGAAAGGAATTATGATGTTAGAGAGTTGGCAGCTGAGCATGAAGCACTGATCTCTGCCCTAACAGATGAACAAAAAGTTGTTTATGACAAGATAATAGGTGTAGTTTCAACATGTACCGGTGGATTCTTCTTCCTTTATGGTTTTGGAGGTACTGGAAAAACTTATATCTGGAAAACATTGTCATCTGCATTGCGTAGTAAGGGCGAGATAGTACTGAATGTTGCTAGCGGAATTGCATCGCTACTTTTAAGTGGTGGAAGAACTGCACATTCCCGATTTGCCATACCTTTAACCATCAAATCAACATCAACGTGTACTATTATACCTGGTAAAGATTTGGCAGAACTCATTGAACGTACAAAGTTGATTATATGGGACGAAACTCCAATGACACACAGGCATTGTTTTGAGGCATTGGATAGGACTTTGCAAGATGTCATGCGTCGCAGACACCCAGAAACTTTCAATAAACCATTTGGCGGAATAGTAACTGTGTTGGGTGGAGATTTTCGTCAAATACTTCCAATTATACCCAAAGGTACTAGATTTGAAATTGTCGATGCATCTATAAATTCATCACCTTTGTGGAAAAAATGCAAGGTACTAAAGCTGACCAAGAATATGCGACTAAGGCAAGGTGTTGATAGCAGCCAAAATAACGATATCAAGGAATTCTCTGATTGGTTACTTGATATTGGTGAAGGAAAGGCAGGTTGTCCTAACAGCAGAGAAGTAGAACTCGAAATTCCATCAAATCTCCTTATAGAACAAACCGGTACTCATGTGGCCTCCATCTGCAATGCTATTTATCCAAGCATTTTGTCCAACTTGGAAGTCAAAGATTTTTTTAATGAAAGAGCTATCTTGGCACCTACGAATGATGAGGTTGATGCTATTAATGATCACATGTTGTCACTCCTAGCTGGCGAAGCAACGGTTTATTATAGTTCAGATTGCATAGATATGACCTCAAGGTCCGTTAACCCGGATGATGATGAAGTTTATACAACCGAGTTCCTCAATTCCATAAAATGTTCAGGAATGCCAAACCATAAAATAACCCTAAAAGTCGGAGTCCCAGTAATGTTTCTTCGAAATCTTGATCAACCAGGAGGATTATGTAATGGTACAAGGCTACAAGTCAATGATTTGGGACAACGAGTTATTCAGGCGACAATCATATCAAGAGCTAATATTGGGAAAAAAAAACTTTCATTCTACGTATAGATATTAGTCCCAGTGATGAGAGGATGCCAATTAAACTAAAGAGGAGGCAATTTCCAGTAGTTGCATGCTTTGCTATGACAATCAATAAGAGTCAGGGACAGTCACTTTCTGAAGTCGGGTTGTTTTTGTGTCGTCCAGTTTTTATTCATGGGCAATTATATGTCGTTTTTTCAAGAGTGAAATCAAGAAAAGATCTTAAAATCCTTATTTGTACCAAGGATGGGGAATTCCACAATAGGTCAACAAATGTGGTTTACAAAGAAGTCCTGGAAAATATATAATTCTTGATTTGAAGCTTTTTATAATTTTTTACTCTTTCCGATACATTTTATATTAATGCCACAAATGATTTATATTGGCGTATGGCACGAATGCTTTATATTTTTATATACTTTTACTTGTGTCCGGTTATGTTAATTATATGCAAAACTATCATTTATTATATACTTTTTTTATATTTTTATATGTTTAATTTAAGTCCTGTTATTTAACGTAAAAAACGAAGGAAAATTTTATTCTACTTTGCTCACCGTACAACGCACAGGTAAAATACTAGTTTTATTAAAAATAATATAATGCAATTTATATAATGTGGGGAAGAAAGAGTGCGCTTTTTATTTTGAAGTTTCCATACTTGAATAAATGGAGATACAAGCAGATAGAGTTTGGAGACCATGATGATAGTATTTTGGTTCGTTCGTCGTTCTTAATGGCGTTTTTATAGTAGCCTTGATGGCTACCTTAATGTATCTGAGCTCTCATCTGCTTGTTCTTTTTTTCTTCCCCCCTTTTTTTTCTTCTTTTACAAAGCCTAATGATTTTAAGTATAAGACGATGAGGGAATAATGGTATTTTTAATTTGAAGGAGCAGAGGGGCACAGTAAATGTAGTATAATTAGGATTTTATTTTTTTTTTCTTTTCCAAATGGACAACTTATAAGGTGAACCGGAGATGGAAATGTCGGAAAGGGAGGAGAGCTGCTGCTTTTAGTTTGCAACTGCTGAGAGTCCAAAGTAAATTGTCACGCTATTAAATGCACCTATTTTAACTTATTATAATTTGTTCTGTAACATGAATAACTGAAAAGTTCATCTCTTTTTATTTTTTGCACTAGTTGCTTTTCTGAAGTCATCTTATTGCACGATTTTGATACTAGTTGACATAAAAGATCTTTTACATTAATATGTCACATTCTTTGGTGGGGGCGACCCACCAGTGTGAAATGTACCAAGAAAGAGATCTTCATTGTCAAAACTCATAAGACAGGTGTGGATAAAAGGATTAGTACAAACAATGAAGAAGACAAGTACCACTATCATCACCATTTGACAAGCTATTGTGCAGCAGCATCAAATCAAATGCCCCGATAAGGGTTTATCTTCTCTCTTTTTCTTTTTTTAGGGGAATAATGCTTGACAGTGATTACCTTTCCGGAGATGGATCTCAGTCTACTTATAGAGCAGAATCACTAGTCTCGGAAGCTATATAAAAACCTGAGATAATCTGAATCTTAATCTTACAAAATCGGAGAGGATTAAGTCGAATCGAGAGAGCAATTAACGAACTTCAAGAGGGCCGGTGGATGTCATTAGATTCCGTGCTTAGTATTGAGCAAAATTCAATGAGAGACCCGAACAGAAGTGTTGGTAGATGGAAGCAGAAGTGGGAGCCGCGGATTGGGGTAAAGGATAGGAATGGGAAGATCCTTAACGCAGGAAACACAGGCACGGGAATTCATTGATATCATACCTCACGTTTATCGTCAATGTTAATAGTAGCCCTATATTCATTCCGTAGTTTTTCCTCCTGAGTACCTAAAAGACGTAGCAAATGCAACTAAGCATAGTTTGAAAGCATAAACCATTTCATTTTATACCAGGATATAAACTTCTAACCCCCTAACGAGGACTGAAAAAATAGATAGATGGTAACAATTCTAAGTTTCCCGAGTCACATTAAGCTCAGCCTCAATGAATTGGCAAACTAACCTGAGCTCAACTCATGTGTGGAGTTCACTCTTGCTGACATTTTCTCCAGCACTTCTGCCCGTAAAGCTGAGCTATCTCCCAAGCTTCTTCTGTTCTTCTCACTTGGTGTGCAACTTTCTCCAGTGAATTTCTTTGTAGTGGGCTTCGGCACATAGGTTGTAGACCATGATCCCCCGTTTGACCCCGCAAGAGACATTATAATATCGGCCTGAGGTACAACCATTTGAAAGAATCAACCTCGTTAACTCCATAAAGTTAAAACATTATGCACATCACAGTTCTTCTTTACTAATAAATGATCAAAGGCATAAGTATGCCAAAATAGGTTTCAGTGCATCCTGGAATACGGTGTTATTATCTTGAAATGCACAATTGTTCTCAAGATAAGCTTAAATCATGAGAGAAACTATCAAAGATGAGGCCAATATTACATAACTTCAGTGGCCAAAGGAGGTGGCTGACAGAGCCACTAACTCAATGTTACCTATATCCCAGAAAGTGGCGCTAAGTAAAGGGAACTTCATTTCCACCTCATATCAACTTAAAGCTTTTGTATTTTGGTAGGAAGACGAATGTAAAAAGTGGATTCGTTTCCATGGGGGTCCTATTCCTTCTTATACATAAAATAACTAAGCAAGACCAGTATTAAGAGCGTATACACACTAGCTAAAACTCAATAACTTTTGCTCCACCCAAATCAGAGACCGGAAGGGTTCAAGCCTTTAAAAAACTAATTAGTGCCCTGTAGGCGTCAGTGATTTTTGTCTTAGATTAGTGGTGAACAAGTCAGATATCAAAATTTGTCATTGATTAATGACCACAATAAAGAAATCCTTAAGCGCCACAGGCTCTAATTTTCAGAGAAACCTGTTCTCCAGGAGAGAGTGTTTAAGCTTTAGGATGCACCGGAAGGTCCAACTTAAGTACAGAAGAATGGCAATACAAGGATAAACTCAAAATGTCTTTTTCTTCCTTTTTTTTCTGGGAAAAGAAACTTTTAACACTGGTTCTTTCTTTCTCTTTTATGGCATAAGTCTCAGAAATTTTATAGAATCGGCAAGCTTCATACAAAAGATTAAAGCAAAGTTTCATGGGCCTTGTAACCTTCACAGTGCTAAATTTTAGAGACAGGAAAAGTATATTCTAACAAAGCTGATGTGTACTGTAATGAAAAAAAATTCTACAGCGCAAGGCAAAATACACGCATTAGGTGACAATAACAGCTGATGCCCAACTACTGCAATATGATTGCTATCTTATTTAGCAGCTGCACTTACACTCTAAACACATAAGAACACCGTACAGAAAACTAACTTTTTTTAGAGCTGTAGGTGGTTTATACGGATGAACTGTGTTTTAGAACTGCGGTGGTCGTCACAATTTTTCTCCTCACCCCGACACAGAAAAACATTTCCGGTATTAGAGAATAAGTTCTTTAATACACAAGTTAATAACCTTTGGCAATGGTTCAAATGAGAACTACTGTAAATGTAGAACTTCATTGACAGACAATATCACTGGCACATAAACACACTCTCAAACATTAAGCCTGCCTAGAACTTTGGGAATTTGATATGGAATAGCACAACTGCCACAATAAAAAGCATTTTCTTTCATGGCAATTGAGTTCAAGTCAAATCCCCTAAGCAAGCAAAACAGACATGTCATTTCTGTCCTATAATCAGTCTATCACACAACTCAAACCACAGAAAGTCAGTGAAGTTATTCAAGTTGCAATCCATGCCCACCCAATACTCAGAAAATTAAACAAACAGATAGCAATTTAGCATGACTGCCCATCATCAAAATGCAAGTTGGTGGAATACACTTCTCCAGCTTACATTGAATTTAGCAATCTTCCCAGTATAGAAGCAACTACTACTCTAGACAAGGGCCAGACTAAGTTAAGAGTTAGATTTGTCCCTGTTGCCACAGGATGAGCAAACTGTTATAGCTTTCAACAGCAGGAGACAGAGGTTTTAACCTTCTATGTTGTTGACAAAGGATATAGCTAACTTCAAACAGACAAACTTATATAAGTACACAAATGTTCAGGCTTCAGAAAAGTATTAAACCCAGGATACACTATTGAGAAACAAGGAGTAAAAGAAATAGAAGGAAAAAAGAAAGAATACCTTGTTGGGCTGGACATTGTCAAATACATGTGCTTGACCACCATAAAATATAGTCATTTGGCACCCAGAAGAAGCAATTCCTTTTAAGCTATCACAAAGTAAGGAAATACCCATCACAAACATATAAAGATTACCGGACGATACAGAGACGATAGGAATTTTCTAAACACTACCTCGGAGTTGTGGAAGTTTCTAGTTCAGAAAGGTGAATCCCAGGTTTCTGCTTGTCACAGCTAGCTTTTGGTCCAGAAAAATTCTTCTCTGATATTCCACCACTTGCATTGATAGAACTCAAAATTCCAGGCCCTTTTATGCCAGTCCTAGATCCTTCATCAGCAGCAGCACCTTGTAATATAACTGATGGACCTGCATGGGAGTCTCTGAATTTGCTTGATAATGCGGGATAGCCAAAAGGCAAAACTTGATTGGATCGAGGTGGCTGCTGCCACACTGAGGCAACATTCATTGGAATACCACGATCCAACCTGGAATTTTTAGCATCAGTTCTACCAACAGATGAAGGTTGTGCTACAAGAGCAGCTGGCATTGGCCTAACCGCATGCATAGAATAGGATGAATCCTCGTCATGTGGTCGCCTTGGTCTTTCTCTCCCACTATGTCGCAGAAGCTGAACTTCAGATCACATTCACAGTATCAGAGAAAATGGAAGAGCTCTTGAAATGAGTCAATATTACAATGATGTCAGCATGGTACGAGATTTTTCTGACAAGAAATTGAAGAATTAGAAGTAGACGAAGAGGTAACCCCTACCTTCATTAACTGTGAGCTATCAAGAGACTCATGCCGCACTGAAGGAAATGTATCATTTGGCGTTCTCAGGTACGAGTCTGAGTTGCTTCTCTTAGTTCCAGAAAATCTATTACTTGCATCATGCGAAATAAAATCACTTCTGGGTCCATAGAATGGAACCCCTTCCAAATGATTTCCAGCTTGTCGTTCTACCACAATTGATGAGAGAATGTCAAATAATATTCAATCCTATAGTTTAAAAACGATTTCCGTAATTAAGGTCTATGACATTGTCATTCTGACACCACATTTAAATCTCAATCATCACAATCACGCATTCCATTGCCAAAACTCACCGACCCAGCTGTAAATCAACTATGGAAAGCCCACGGAAACATAAATCTAAATGAGTAAGCGATTGCCTATGAATGGAAGGCATCATCAATGTAACAATGAGAAAGGCAATATCCTAACATCAGTTTGAGCTTACGAATTGAGCACCCAAATTGATGAATCATAAAATATTGGAGCTAGCAGCTAATGTTTCAAAAAACATGTAACCAATTTTCAGGAAAAAAAAAATGACGAGCATTGAAAGAGTCCTGAAAAGTTGAGAACCCAACAACTGACCAACCACAAATATTACTCAGACGAGGACATGAATAGACAATTCTAACAAGGAAAACCTCTCATCTCAAGTGCAGGAAGAATGATGGGGTTTTGGAAATCACTCATAAATCTGAATAACCCACGGAACTAGAGATAATCACAGGGGTCAATTGCTCTTAACTTACAAAGAAAACCACCAAAAAAATTGAAATAAAATACAACAACCACCACCACTGCCACCATAATCTTCTGAAGAAAAAAAAAAAAAAAAGAAAATCCCCCTTTATTGTTTTTGCAGAAGTGAAAGTCATACGGACACACCTAACTAAAAATTATTGAATTCATAGAGTGAGAACTCAGAGAAATGGCCAAAAAAATAGCTGAAGGTAGTGGTCTTACCGGAACCCAGATCAGAAGTGGTAGAGACAGGACCACGGCCACCACCAGAAGAAGCACCGAGAGAGACAGAAGCAGAGGCGGATGCCTCAGATAGTGGCCGAACTTTGCCGGCCGGTGGTCCAACTACCGGAGACGAATCTGGAGCTGACCCTTTACCAAGAAAATCATGAAAAACCGTAGAAGCAGCTTTCCCTTCATCACCACCAGTACTACCTATCACAGCAACACTACTAGTACTGTTGCCGACGCTACTACTGTAAGTGTGAGCCATTAATTGTTTCTCAAACCCACGGAATCAAACTACAAAAAGTAAATTACAACATTCCCAGAACTAAATTCAGCTGCCCAGAAAGACATTATTGTCTCATTTCCACACAGTGACGAAAAACCACCTCTTCATAGAGAAAAGGGAAGAAAAAAAACAAAAAAAAAAGAAGAATCTTGATCGATATTTCTGTACTGTGGAGGTCTGAGTAAAAAAGCAAAAGAGCAAGAAGGGAGCAAAAGGGCTGCACGATTTTTCAGAAAAGATGATGTAAATCAAATACTACAAGAGTTCTTTTTGGGGAGCATTAAAAAGCAAAAGTTTCTGGCTTTTCTCTTGGTACATGCAAAAATGGACCTTTTGTTTTTTGGCTTTGTTAATTACCAATCATTTTCCAATTAATTTTGGCATCGGTTTTGGTGATTTGAGTGACTGTTTGTACTGTAATTATACATAACCAGATGGGTTTTGTATGATTGTTGTATCTGTATAAGATTTGCAGAATGTGTTTGTTTTGTTTATCTAGGCTTTGGTTCAGAACTTCAGATAGAGTGGCAAAAGAGAATAAATTAATTGGATTGTAGGTTGTGAATGGAAAAGGGAATAAGCCAAAAGGGAGGGAGGACTTGAGAATTGAGAGATTGAAGAAAGAGAGAACAAATTGGAGATGTTTGGCCTTTTAATGTTAGTTAACTTTCATTAATACACTGTTTCTTGTCAAAATGAAAACGAATGTTCGTTTACTTTTGGGCGGAAGGAAAATTGCGTGTTTTAGCCCCCTCCAACAATTCTTGTATAGCAATTGCTGCACATCGTTAAGTCTTCTCTTGAGGCTTGAATTCGGAAAAGTTCTTACTCTTCGACTTCAATTTTATCTTAATGTTTTACGAGGGTGCCAATTTGAACGCCAAGTATCATTATAATTAAATAATTAAAAAAATTAATTTAATTAATAAAGTATCATTCTAGTCCCGAAGTGTAAAATTAATAAAAGATATTTTTCAGTGATCTTTAACCAAGTCAATGGTCTGAATTTGCTAACTAGATGACAGAAGATGAAATTTGTCAAATTATGATATATCGGATGAATTAGCACTCTCGTAATATATTACAATGAAATTAAAGTCAGACTGGATTAATTTGATTCTTTTTAGTTTGAACTTTGTAACTCTAAAATAAATACATAAAACATGATCGTTGCACAATTACTTGACTTATAATTACTTATTTGAGTTTGTTTGAAAGATTATTCTTCATATATTTTTGTTGTGTACCTGACTTCACAACGTTGGATTTCAACGATTCCTTTCTTGATGAGAGAAATTACATGTACTAACCAAAGGGAATGCATTTTGCAGAATCATCACTTAATATCTCTTCTTGTTAATATGTTTATCGTACCTTAAAATGGAGATGAGGTGTAGAATAATTATGAAATGAGAATATTAATTTGAAAAGAAGAAAACTATTCAAAAAAAAAAAAAAAAGAGGGAAATTCTTAAAAAGAAAAAGGTAAAAGCCATTACATATCCATCTCCAAACCACGAGGGTGCCTTTTAGAGTGTTAATCCTTCGCACTAAAAAACTAATACCCTGCCACTAAAGCCAAATTTTTAAATCCCCCACATCAAAAAGTCTTCAAACTAAAACTAGTTTAAAACTAACTAATAATAATAAATAATATTACACATATCTCATGATAAAGAAAGCCAACTTCCATCCTTGTCCTTTACTAACCCCAGCACACCTTCGACCAATCTTTCCCCCCGAAAACAACAAAAAGAAAATTCTCCAGTGGTAATTTGATTATCATTTAAAAGGAATGCGAGTTTAAGAAAAATGTTACCAAATAGAACTGAGTTCATTGTCTGCCACATCTTAATTAGTGATTCCAACTTAGTAGTAGAGGCGATATGAAATGAAAATGAAAAGAAAAGAAAAGAAATTTTCTCGCTCGATAACTTATACTCCCTCTGTCTCAAAATTATTGTCCAGTTTAAAATTTTATTTTTAGTACAATTTAAACTAGAAATGAAAACTCAAACTGGACAATAATTATGGGACGGAGGGAGTAACAAAATATTACATATAGTTATTTTGGATTTAATTTGCCCTATTAACTATAGCTAGTTGTCGGATCCTCCATCATGTCTACCAAAGTCCCTTCACCTAATTAATGGTTTTTCCACCTCATGCATTGATAATGAAAATTGAGCATTTGATCTATTTAACCCTCTTTTTGTTTATATGTGTTGTCCCAAGTGGGAGGAATATAAAAGCTCCAGATTCTCTACTTCTTAGTGAGGTGATGAGCTGAGGGCATTACAAAATGTTCGAACATCAACGTCTGTGTTGTTGACTGCATCCATTCTTACAACTGTCCTTTTTTCTGCTTTTCCTTTTTTCCATCCCATATGGGCATATGACCTTTCATGAAATGAAAGTATGAAACAACCAAATTACCTAACCAAAATGCTCTCCTTTGTAATGGTTTTTGCCACCAAAGAGCGAATGTATACATACATACATACATACATACATACATATAATATATATGTGTATGTATAATAATAGAGTAACTAATTGGTAATAGTGACTAATTAAAAGAGTGAAAAATATATGTTCAAAAAAATAAAGAGGTAGAACACACAAAATGAGATTGTAATTTAGAACCGTTCTAAAAAGAAAATTACTACTTATATCGCACTATGAGTTGCATCTGACTTCTGCTCTTAGTTGATGAGTTATAACTCGATCTTATTGCTACATTTCATGATTGGCCATTTGATTCTCCAATTGAAACATCAAAAGAAGAGGGGAATCGCGGAGGGGATTTTTCTACGGAGGGTAATCATTTGATGCATGGGACTTACTTTTTAGGCATATTTTAGTGGTGCAATGTGAAGAAGCATTCCTCAACAAAATGATTCGTAGGCTTCTTAAAAAGAAAAGGTTTAAAAAAAGGGGGTTGAATGAAAGAATGATGAAATTTCCACTTACACTATCACTAGCCTTCTTTTTTATCCAAATATATGCCACAAGGAAACAAGTAAAGAATTTAGTGGATCTGTGGATGTAGAGATGCGCAGCCAACGAGTCACAAATAAACCAATAATGTAGGTTTTAAATGGATGAAGAACTCATCTTCATATTATAAAATAAGCATAAACAAAAAGGCTATCCTCTTTTTTGGAATTTAATGGTTAGAGTTATGCATTGTGTGATTAAGAGTAAAATGATTAATATAGTCCCTGCATGTCTTCAAAATGTTTTAGTTTATGTGCTATAGTTCAAAAGTGGTTTTCCTTTTATCCTCAATTTTTTGGGACGCGACTTTTTCTGTCCTATATTAAACAATCTAAAATGATACTAACACATGAGTATTTAATAGGGTGTAAATTTTCTTGTGTAGAGATGATGAGCTAGAACTATATTAAAATGTTGCAAGAACAAAAGCCACTAATGTATTAAAAAGTTGAAGAAGAAAAAAGATCATTTTCTTCTCTTTTTTTCATGTGCAACGAAGGAGGCGCAGCCTAACCAAAAAAATAAATAAAAAATATACAAGTATAACCGCAAGTTAAAAATAATAATTATATTGTGTTTTAGTCATGATTTTACCTGTTTCAATTAAAATTTCTAGTCTTTTGAAACTTACTTATCTTGTTGCTATCATTTTATTCTTCTCTTAGCTACTCCAATTGTTCCGAAATTATTGTCAAGTTTAGATTTTCATTTTTAGTATAAATTGAAATAACAGTAAGAAAATTCAAACTGCACAATAATTTATTATTAGTGGCAGAGGACTGAGGTAAGGTAAAAAAAAATGATTACGATCTCTAAATCATGAGATTAAAGACATTATGAACTTTAACTCGAAAAATATTGAAAATTCTTTTCCCACTACTATGTTGAGCTCCGAGTGGAGATCAAATGTTACATTTTGTGAAAGTATTAGAGAAAAAAAATTATTTTTATTTTTCCTTACTAGATAGGATGAATACATACACGGTTAGAGCATGGTGTTAGAGGAAATTCTTAGATAAAAAGTTGAAAATCCACGAGGATCTTGGTGCGTTTGGCATGGCATATTAAGCTTTAATGGTGCTCATCATCAAAACAACAACAACAACAACAACAATAATAATAATAATAATAATAATAATAATAATTGGCCATGATCTTAAGAGAATCCCATAATCCCAATCAACTTATCTGTACGATCGATTTGATGATCCATCTTTATCCCCCCAGTCGATTCCCTGAATATTTCCTGCATATTCAAAGGGCCTACTGCAGAGAAAAAAGAATAAAGAAAGATGAACACACAATTATACTTTAATTGACTTTGGGGCTTGCATCATGCATTGCCAGGCAATAATACTATTTTTACTTATTTCTAAACAAAGAATGCTACTCCTCATCGGCTCATCACTCTAATCCAACAATTAAAATATGTTTATAACTAAAACCAAACTCTTTTCTAGGTAAATTTGATGGGGCCTATGTAATTGGTTGACGGGCATGGCTGGCTGTTAACGTTGTGAGAGAGATTTACGGAAGTTCAAATGAATATAAGGTTTTGTCTAATTATTAAAAATAGAAGAGCTCTTCGCTTGGCAGTTTAGCAGCCTCTTGTCCTGGTGATTTACCGTTGTTAGATGATTCACCTCCAAGGTAAAACCATGGTTGGAACATGATATTGTTGGTGTCTCTTTCAACGCTGTATAATAGTTTCATAATCTTAGGCAAATGCCTCCTTTAATGTATAAAAACAAAATATAATACCTCTTAAAACTATAGAAGATGATAGTCAAAATATATTTAGTTATAGTCAGCGGCGATAGCAAATAGAAGGCCTGTTGTGAAGTTTTTCTAAAAGACATTTCTAAAAAAAAAATATATATATATATATATATATTTGCTCCCGGGTAAAATTTTTAGTTTCATTTCCCCTCTTGTATTTCCTGAATTCTTACTCCACTTTTGGTTATAGCATTGGGACTAGACTAGACCATAATACAGTAACGGCTCTAGAACAAATTCTTACTGGGGGCCAATATATATTAACGAAAATAATTTTTATAATATCATTGTATTAGTATTGATCATAATAAGTTTTCTTATTTTCATGAAAATTTTGAACCACTTTCACATTATAAGTGTGTTCTAAAATATTATCTTTAACATAAAAATTAAAGGAGACATCATTCAAGAGTTAAGTATTTGATACAAGAATACATATTATTGTGTTTGTAGTTAAAAATTCTTTCTATAGCTATCATATCAATGCGAAATCATAACTTTCTTTATTAAAATTATTTAACAAAACACTTATACCAATGCATGCATAATAACATTCAAGACACTTATTTTATGAGCATTTTATTGCAAGAATGCCAGCATCATTAGCATAATATAATTCACAATGACTTGTAATTATATTTGATTTTTTTTTTAATAATATACAACTTATTGATACAAATTTATTTCATATGTCGACCATATTTAATCAATTTTAAAAAAAATTAAGAAAATGTAAATTTAGCAAAAAAAACAAATTAAAAAATTACATAAAACATCAATTATTTATTTAAAAATTGTATTAAGATAATAAAAATGTATATATAATCAAAAGCTTGCGGTGGGGCCAACGTGGCCGATGCGCCCATGGCCCCAATGTAGATCTGCCGGTGCGAGAATATAACTTGGGACACATGATAGATCAGTACTCAAAGTGAACAGGTTGAGAGAAAATATTCTGTTGAGGTTAATTATTTTTTTCGGAAAACAAACTTTGAAGTAAATTATTTGAGACTAAACTGTATAACTGGTCCCCTATATTTGTCCGAATTTAAATTTTGGTCCCCTACATCAACATGTATATGGATTGAGCCTTTACATTTCATTTTGAAACTTTTTTTTGTCTCTTTTCACTGTTCCGTCACCATTTCCGTCTTGATGACCGTTGACCCTACCAAGTCAGGGGTATTTTCAAAATGACACATATTTTATTAAGCAAAAGACTAAACTATATAAATGGTCCCCTACATTTGTCCGAATTTAAATTTTGGTCTCCTACATCAACATGTATATGGATTGAGCCTTTACATTTCATTTTGAAACTTTTTTTTGTCTCTTTTCACTGTTCCGTCACCAGTTCTGTCTTGATGACCGTTGACCATATCAAGTCAGGGGTATTTTCGGAATGACACATATAAGATCATAATAACAAATGTTTTTATAATAAAATAGAATAAAATATTAAAATTATTATTTTATAATAAAAAATTAAATAATTTAAAAATAAAAATAAAAAATTAAAATGATTTCAAATTTTAAATTTCAAAATTTTTTTCACTTCCTACCTTTGTGGGTCTCACATACTAGTCAATTTCTCCCCTTTTTTTGCTACAGTAAAAAAAATCAAAATTAAAAAGTAAACTTACCTTCACCCGTCTTTTACCTTTACCAGCAGTGACTTGGTAAGAATAAAATTAATAAATGGCATTTCGGATTATGAGAATAAAATTTTTAAGGATAAAGGTAAAAGACGGGTGAAGGTAAGTTTGCTTTTTAATTTTTGATTTTTTTTACTGTAGCAAAAAAAGGGGGGGAAATTGATTGGCATGTGGGACAAAGTGAAAAAAAATATATAAAATTTGAAATTTAAAATCATTTTAATTTTTTTAATATTTAATTTTTTATTATAAAATAATAATTTTTAATATTTTTATTCTATTTTATTATAAAAACATTTGTTATTTTGATCTTATATGTGTCATTCCGAAAATACCCCTGACTTGGTAGGGTCAACGGTCATCAAGACGGAAATGGTGACGAAACAGTGAAAAGAGACCAAAAAAGTTTCAAAATGAAATGTAAAGGCTCAATCCATATACATGTTGATGCAGGAGACCAAAATTTAAATTCAGACAAATACAGGGGACCATTTATACAGTTTAGTCTTTTGATCTTATATGTGTCATTCCGAAAATACCTATGACTTGGTAGAGTCAACGGTCATCAAGACGGAAATGGTGACGGAACAGTGAAAAGAGACTAAAAAAGTTTCAAAATGAAATATAAAGGCTCAATCCATATACATGTTGATGTAGGGGACCAAAGTTTAAGTTCGGACAAATATAGGGGACAATTTATACAGTTTAGTCATTATTTGACACTACAAGTTACAAAAAAAGTTTGGAGGTTTAGAATGACTGTTCCTTCTGACTTTTGTTCGAGTAAAGTAGTGTTCTCTGTGTCCCAAAATTATTATCTAGTTTGAGATTTCAGTTTTAGTATAATTTGAACTAAAAATAAAAATCCAAACTAGATAATAATTTTGGGATGGAGGGATTATCTTTTTTAACTATATTTAGAGAGGAGTATGCTTAGAGAAACATGAGTATTAAATTTTGTCTGTTTTATGAAAATGGAAAGAACCAAACTCTTTTCTATTCTGAATGAGAGTTGTCACGTCACTCATAATTTTTAATATCTTTAGATTAAATAACAATAAAATCTTCTCTTTCTTTTTGAAACAAAAAAAAAAAAAAAAAACCCTGTAAATAAAGCCTGCGCGTAAATTAACTATTAACTCCAAAAGAACGTTAGCAAAATCTACCACGGTACAGTTACTTATCCAAGATTTCCAAATTTCTTCAGAAAAAGTGAGTTAGAGACATCCAATTGAAAATACCAGTAAATCAATTCTCGATTCAACCATCAAACACATAGCACTGCTTCACAAATGCAATTCTGATTGTTCAAAAAAAAAATTAATGCATTATTCTTTTCGTCTCAAGAAAAGATTTATTTTGAGTAAAAACGTGTGTAACAACGGAGTTCCAAATAATTTAATCGGAGGGAGGCATTTCTTTGATATAATTATTGTGCTTATTCAGTTCTCCACCACTTGGAAACCAAAAACATGAGTTCCAACGTGGAGCTAATTTCCTCCGAATCTAAATACAAATCCATAGCAGTGTTTTCTTTTTAGTACTACAAAAAATTCCTCCCATGATTTAAATCAATTATGTGGTCATACAGATATAATCAAACAATTGTATTATAATAAAAGGAAAAAGGAAAAAAAATCAGAGCATCAGCGCTACAGGAGGAGGATCAATCAGTCAGTCAGAAAGAAGCAAAGTACAGAGAAAGATGAGATGGCAGCCTGCGCCTGCGCCTGCGCTGTGATATCTAAGCCCACACCATCACTCCACATGGAGGTAGCATATATGTAGGAAAAAACAGTCAGAACAAAACTTGCACGTGTTGCTACTCTTGTAGACCTCAAAAGGCAACCTTCAAAAGTGTGGGCTAATCTAGTCTAGGGTGGCCAAGGGACAATGTAGCAGATTATGATCTGAAAATTTGACTCATTTGGCTTCCTGATCACATGGGTTTATTTGATAGGTGTTGTTGGCCAACAGTCAAATTTCCGGCCACATTTCTGACTCATTTGTCTCAGCTATGATCAGTGTTTTCCGTGACAGGCGGCCGCGCGCAAGCTTCAACTTCAGGGGATATGTTCTGATCTCCATATCAATTTTAACTCCACCCCATAGTTATCATTTGTAAATAGACTCGATTGCATCACTCCAAAGAAAACAAAGGGAACATTGAACTCGTGGCATCCCTTAGATAAAAAAAAATCTTTGCGAAATTTGAACCGAAGTAATGCTGTATATCTAGTGAATATGGTGAAATTTCGAACTGATGCTGACTTTGATTCATTTCCTGCGTGTAAAATGGATGCAGTGCAAAGTCATTCTTATAGAGCAGAACAGTAATCAGAAAGTGACCTAATAAGAGATATCCAAAAGACTTGCCATGATTCATCCGGACATCGAAAGGTACAGAATAATCATCTCAACTAGTCTTAAATCAGTTTTGGAGGCAGAAATTCACGGTCAAAAGAGCCACATAAAATTCTTCTACCTCTAGACTGCTATATTCCACACAGCGGTGATAATATATGTCAAAGTCTCAGGCTCTCAGCTCCAATGCAGCAAGCTTAACTGAACAACTGAAACAACAGGGACATGGACATCACATATTTTTTCCAGCTTTGCTCATACTTGTACTCACTATGTTGCCTGAAAGTTCAGCACTCCAACAGCTAAGACTGTATTCCGTTGTGAGATGTCTTCAATGAAAGGCGCCATCAACAAAGTACTCAGTTCACTGCATCTCTTCAATGAAACCCTTGCATAGTGTAATTAAATGCTTCAAATGTCCCATAAAATCTATGACTTCTCCAGGAAGAACTCTTATCCCGTAAACATAGTGCCTATGAGTAAGCCAAAACCAGATTACCCAGAGCCCCATTTCTCTCATGAATCTTAGATGATGCAACAATCTCTTGCCACCAAAATGCTTAAAGGTTGCTATTTTTTCCTCCAATCATCTGTCCAGTAAATCACACTAGTGTACTTTAACCTCAATCAACTATGTCCGCACAAGGGTGAATTTGGGCATAATAGCTTCACATATATTTTCAGCTCCATGACGAAAGGGGGGAGATTTTGAACCCTACAAACACAAAAGAGAAGATGAAATGAAAAACCAAGAAGCTCAAAACCGCATGCTTGGAGGACACCTACAGACACCATATCCTTCTACTTCTAATTGGTTAAATATAATAAGTTTTCTATAACCGTTATCCTCCTCCTTTTTGTTTGCTAATCTTAAGGCAGGCAACCCCAATTGTTTACAATCACATCTAAGAAAATCTCTGCAAGTTATGCTTTTTTCGATATCAAATGATAACCAAAGAGAGTATGATATTTATTACAACCAGTTCATGCCATCTGGTTCCAAGTATCTCAATTTTCCAAAACAATTATTCCTCAGCTCTGAAATCCAACAGAACTGAGAGGAGGGTTGGGAGGGAGGATGGGTGCATTTTAAAATATTCTTTCATTTTTTTTTTTTGTAATTAAAAGAAAAAAACCTACTTCAGGCAGGAGGTTAAAAGACAATCAAGAGGTGCCCAAAAATACCACTTTATGGATTAAAGAATTTAAAATTTTGGCTAGTCTTTCATGAATAAGAAGCAACATGATTCATATATCAAAAAACAGTCAAGAAAGAATAACTGGAGATAAACTCTTTCCGTCTTGAGGAGCAGTAAAGAGGGAAAATGTTATGAACGCCGATAAGCCATTCTGCTGAAGAACCAAATTACCAACAAGACATCTCTGAAGTAATTTATACCTGTAAAAGCTGCAATTAACCATTTCTTTCTGATGTTGCTGACCAAGACCTTCGACTTAGTTATTCATCCTTGAAGAATGAATGCAAAGCATCCATTGTAATCTTCCTTTGAGTGGGAACTTGATGCAGGTAAAGAATTTGTTTCATGCTCACCATTTCTTTACATTATTCATTCACCTCATTGCATGTGATTAGCAGTTCAGCGCATCTTCCTACGCTTTTTCTTACGCTTTAAGAGCTCCTGCCGGTTGTTACAGGTCTTTAAGACATTCGACATCCCTACGGCCCTCTTCATTATGGATATTTTTCTAGCATGTGAAAGATCTCTGCGGACACCAAAAGTATTTGGCAGTTTCTTTGAGTGAGGAATAGTTGACATCATATCATAGAGTTTCTGGGCTATTTCTTCTTTTCCATCTTTCCTTAATTCAGAACTCATTACCTCGTATGTGAGGTACTGAGGAACCAATCCCCTGCGAATCAAATCTTCAAATGCATCAAAAGCCATGTCAAGTTGGTGCTTTTTGATTTGTAAATGGATAAGCATGGTACTCGTTGCCAAGTCCAAATCACACCCTCTTGACCTCATCTCTTTAACAACTTGCATTGATAAATCCAACCTTCCTTCCTCACATAACATCTTCACCAACAGACGATAAGTAAGCCGATCTGGGGAATATCCTGACTCAAGGATCTTATTATAGAGGTTGAGACCCTCTTCAATCTTCCCTGACTTTGAGAAGTACTTAAAGAAGTAATTGTAAGTAGTAATACTTGGCAACACCCCCCTATTTATCATCATCTTGAGTGTTATACTAGCCCCTTCCAAATCTTCCGCCTTGCAGAAGCCCTTCACTAGGGAATTATAAGTTGAAAGAGTTGGACCAGATTCCAATACTGAAAGTTGTTCCATCAATGCCAGTGCTTCCTGGAATCTCCCAGCCTCACCAAGAGCATCTATTACGGGGTTATACACAATTGCATTTGGCTCCACGCCTTCCTTTCTCATTTCAGCAATCAAATCATTTGCTACATCAACAAGGCCCATTCGGCAATATCCTTCTATTAGTGTACCATAAGTTACAGTGGTTGGCTTAATGTTTTCCTTTTTCATTTCCATCCATAACTGTTCAGCACCTCTAAGATTTCTTGCCCGGAACCAACCATTCAACAGGATATTAAATATCCTAATGGATGGAACCCAGTTCGTATCCTGCAACCTTCGATTAGCCAAACACTTGGACGCTACCTTCACTCGTCCCTCCTTGCATAACGAGTCTAACAAAATCTCAAACAATTTATGCTCTACATCCGAACCCTCAAGAAAATCCAAATTTGACGCAAATTCGTAAGCATGAATGGCTGATGATGGTAATCCTTCAAAGATAGAAAGCAGAAGCAAAAATGCAGAAACATCAAAATCAACCCAAAAGAAAAAGATAAGAAACGGAAAATTAACAATGTCAAGGAAGAATTTCCTAAACATCCTCAAGTCCAACCATCTTCATCATCATCAAGCATAACGTTTGCACATATATTTGCTACATGTAGTCAGACAAAGCCCAAGAGCACATGATAACAGGAACATCATTGCAAATAAAAACCGTAACAATTAGATTCCAACTTACTAGCTCGTGTATATCTCCTGATCATAATAGCAAACGTATCCATATCAGGCTTGTCACTGCCGAGCATCTTGTTCTGTATCAAGTCCCAAGCCCGGCCAAATTCTCTGGCCTTCCCCAGCGCATTTATAGCACCATTAAAAACTGCCACGGAGAATTTATACCCAGTCTGCTTCTCCGCCCAGAGGAACAGGGAATACAAGGGTTTTGGGGAACAGTCGAAGTGATTGAACATTTGCAACAGCAAATCCGGTGTAGGCACGATTCCGGATTGGGTAAGGGCATTTTCAAGATCTGGACCTGGCTGGACTTCGGAATCGACGAGAATGTCACGTAATTTGTTGAAATCCAAAGGACGATCGAAATTAGGGGTTTTAGGGTTTTGGGATTGGCGAGGTACAGGGTAAGAGGATCGTCGTGTTAAATTAGGTTGAATCGATTGGGGTTTAGCTTTTACAGGCGGCTGCTGTCTAGGAGGCTCGCCGGTGGTTTTGAGCGGTGATTTGGTGGAGAAGAGGGCTTTAGTGGCTGAGGTGGAGTGGTGGCGGAGGACGGTGGTTAGAGCACCAATGCGGCGGCGGGCGGTGGGAAAGGAAGATAGCCTATTCATTTTAGAATAGCGGTTAAAAGTACTGGCGGGAAGAGTGAAAGGCTTCCAAAGAGTTTTAATTCAGTGAAAATGTGAACTTACATCCAAATTCCAAAACAAAAATGAAAACCAAATCATTATTATTTTGGTTTTTCTTCTTTAATCAATGCAATTGAAATTTCAGAAACTAAATTTTTCTTTAAAAAAAAAATAACAGAGTCAATGTCGTAAATTCTTGATATTTATAACCGACGAAATTACTATTAGTGTTCTGACGATCAACTTGTTTTGCATGTTGCTTAAGAAAATAATCTATTAAACTCCAAGGTAATTAGAGGTTACACTAAGAAATCCATATACCTTCATTAGTCTTTCATCACATTTTGATTTGTTTTCAGCGTTGTACAATTGCAAAATACTCATTCCTGGAGTTGGAAACTCCATCGTATGAATTTGTTTGGCAATGATGGCTCAACTTGAGCCGCTCAAGCAAAACCGACAAGAGTTCAATTATTTCAAATAGTCTTATTAATATCATCGTCAAACTCCATGTATACTTACTTAACTAATACTCCTTTTGTATCAAAAAAATGTCTACAAATTTTAAATTCAATGTAAAGCTTTTTTTAGGACAGAGCGAGTATGATCATATTAATTATGATCATATGTGATGAAGTGGGCATGTGCAAAATGCGTCCGGTCTAACTAGTTGCAGTTATACACAAATGTGGTCTAAGAATTAATTAACTCCAACATAAAAATCCTTAAAATCTTAATTTACATTATTTGCGCTTTAAGCTTTAGCAACTGCTGGGAACGCATCACTTTATTGGGAACAAAAGAATTAGTTTAATGTAAATGATGAAAAACTCATTGATTCATAGCTTTGCTTTCCCAATATTCATCTTCCCATCTCTCGACTTCCAAGATTAATCTCTTTTTCTCGTCATTAAAAGCTTTGACAGCCTCAGGATCATAGGGCGGAGGCAAAGTGCAAGTTGAATTACTACTGGGAGATTTCTCAAGAGATTCTTCCATGAATTTTCTCGAGTTTCCAGTAGCAGAACACGCCAGGGTTTCAGCACAAACTTCAGTTGCCTTTTCAGGAATATTAGGTTTAAACTTCAACAGCTTACCATATTCATTCAATAAATGGAATATGTAGTCATATATAAACTCCATCTTCATATCCTCATGTATGAATCGACTTCATGCAGCTCCAATTGCCTCTGCCTGCATCATTTTTTACTTGCACAAATTAACAATCAAACCATTCCACAAGATCGATTTTAGTGTACAAGTTGCAAACTTATATAGATTTTTTTTTTTTTTTGAGACATATAAAATATATTTCATCTAGTAATAATGAGGAGAGTAGCCTATGGTGCTTATATATTGATACAAAGTGTCTGCAGACACTAATGTGGGATAAATACTTCAACACTCCCCCTCAAGCCTAACGGGCTTGGACCTAAATCACCAAGATCAGGAAATAAACCGTGGAATAACATCATGAGCCGCAGAATAACATCGCGGGCTTGGACCACAGAATAATATCGTGGGCTTAAAATCACCACAGGCCGGCCCGTTCTGATACCATATAGAAACCCATGGGGTTCCACCTCAAAATCAATTGGCAATGAAGGGAGTAGCCTATAATATTTATATATTAATACAAAGTGTTTGCAGACACCAATAGGGGATAAATACTTCAACAGTCCTCGTATAATGAAAGTGACAAAAACCGAAGGACGTTATTATAGGAACGTGTTCCGAAAAAGTGAATAATGTAACGTACTTTTTGGGTGTGATTGTTGCCGTATTCAACGGTAAAGATTTGCATTTGTCACTGTCTCGAATAGGCCAATAATGGCGTTGTGGTATCATGGCTCTTACGAAGAAGTCGTGCCAACGAGGAGTGATCAACAACACTGGCGAATCGCATGCAAAAATGTACTTTTCGCTCACTGACCATCCGTTTCCTTCTGTATAAATCTTGTATCTGCAATCAATACTAAAAGAAAATATCTAAAATTGTTTTTTTTTTTTGGAATAATGATAAGCAATAAATAACAATGGGAGTTTAATTTCTGTCACCTGTATGTGCATTGATCGGCAAGATTTGAAAAGATGAATCCCCTCCTTGCCTCTGTTCTCCAATCCGAATGTTCGGAATTTATTACTGTAAGAAGATTAATCCAATTGAATAATAATGCTTTGTCTAACTACTAATTACTCTCTCCATTTTAAAATGTAAGTCTTTTTTTACACTTTACACGTAAAATATTTATTTTGCCTTTCATTAATTGTTTTGAAACTAAAACTAGATGAGAAGTAGTTAGCATTATTTGTTAGGGGCAAAATTGAGAAGTTAATCTATAATTTGCCTTGAAATCCTAAAACGATCTATATTTTAAAATATTTCTCAAAACCTAAAACGACCTACATTTTGAAATGGAATGAGTATATAGTATTATAAGTAAGAAATGGAGTACATCGCTCTGCACGAATTAATTAATTAAATTATTATAACATAAAAAATGCTCTTTATGAAAAATGAAAAATGCTCTTAATGGGCGGGTCACCTGGATGAATAAACGAGCGTTCCAATCAACTGTGTGGTTGGGATTACATCTCATGAGGTCACGCCTCCAGGCACCCGTTCTAGGATTTCCTTTCCAATAAGCATAGGGTTCCCTATCTGTCCAATTTCTCTTTCTATTCCCTTCTTTAATCTCTTTCAACATACTCCTCCATGGCCTTAGGTTTATCTCCGCCCTAAAACAAAATATATTGACACATTAATTTATACAACTTAATCGCACATGATTATATTTTAGTTTCACTCTACAATGTATAAAAAGAAAAAAAAAAAAAAAAAGGTCAACATGTGGCCTTATCCCAAAATAGATGTTGCCAAATTCAGTTTGTTTTTCCTAGTGCCATGGCCTTATGTAGGGATTATTGTAGAGAATCAGGTAGCACTGTAGAAAAGAGCGTATATAAACTACAAATTTTACCATTTTTCAATCTTTATATTAATTGACGTGTTCTCGTAGTTCTATTTTAGAAGTCAAATGACCTCAAAATGAAAAATGAAATGAAGAAAGTTTATGATAGAATATGTAAATATGTAACCATGCATACCAGCCCCAGAATGACCAATCTGGAAAGACGATGTCCAAGCGCGACGAATCCGAACAATACCCGAACAAAGCCGGCGGATTACCGGCGTTGGGTCCACGTGGAATGAGCGGCCGATCGTCGCAGTCAAACATCAACTCTAGATCCGGCAACCTTCCAGGGTACAACCTGGTGAGTTGCAAAATCCCCCAAATAGTGAACAAATCTCTGGTCTGAATTGCGTCCTTAAACTTCTCCACGTACACTTTCCCATCCAAAATCACCACCCTAAAATGTGCATGTTTCCTTGCACTTTCCAACATCTCCCTCGTAATCTCTCTTGACCCTTCTTCTTTCCATGGCCTTAAATCTTCATGAATCCACCGGAAATATTCCGGGCATGTCTCGCTTTTCCACCACAAGGCGGGCTCGTGTTTGATTGGATAAGTGATTGGACACGTGTTTTTGTTAGTCGCATTCCATGTAGCGCAGTCCAGGGGGTACTCAATCTCCGATGGTTTCGATTTAACGAAAAATTTCAGTGCATTCTCATAGGAAATGCTTGAATACTGGCTCCGCAAAGCAAACAAAATTGGAATGAATAACTTGATACAATTAATTAATCTGTAACGAATAATGTGCAAGAGAAATGAATAAATCATGCAATTATACTTACAAGATTGTTATTAGTCCAACTTGCGGAAACTAGGAGGAGGAGCAATTAGAAGAGGAAAAGTACAATAGAACTCAAGCTATAAGACTTGAAGGATGAGCAGCATCTTGTTAAAAATGGAGCTTTTGGATTAAAAGCAGGCCTTAGCCAGAACATTTTCATCAACTTTTCATTCTCTGGTGAGTTCATGATGTTGGATTAATCGAGCAGGAGCTGAATAAAAAGAAGCAGTAATTATTAGTGTTAAAAAGGTAGCTTGTAGCTGCTTCTAATTAGGAAACTTTGAACTTAATGTTTAGAGCTGTCATGTGGGTTTGGCGATCTCATTTGCCAAATGGTCAAATCCATTGTGTGTTATAATCTGTAAAACTAAACCTCAAGCAAACTAATTGCATTAAGAAAAAAAAAAAAGAAGAAGAAGCTAGTTTGCTAATTATACTTTTCAATTTTTATTGTTGTGATCAGGAACGTTGCTACATCTACATTTATATACGTATGCAGGTTGTAATATAACTCAATTGTAAGTTCTTTCACAACGGTGTGGTTGTGCTTCTTTCTTGCGTTTTTTTCTTTTCCGTTAAACTAAAGTATAATAAATGAAATAGACAAACTTCTTCGATTTCAAGATAATAACAATCTATTTTTACCATCGTACTCAACCCACGATGCCCTTGTTTATATTATAAGTAGCTAGTTGCTCTAAAAATGTTAGTACTTTAGCTTAATGGTAAAAAGGACCAAGGATCACACCATTCATAACTCTTTTAGTGTTCATAAAGTTAATTCTTTTTTAAAAAAAAGAAAATTTCATGTAGATATTACTTCATCTGTCTCGAAATAATTGTCTGTTTTAATTAATTTTTCATTTTTAGTATAAAATGTATCAAAATTCAAAATTTAAACAAGACAATTATATTGGAACGGGATGAGTAAGAATTATTGTCAACAATCCGGAACCATTATTATATAAATTTGTTGAAATTAAGCATAGTTCCTTATAAATGAAGGTGCGTTCTTTTAAAGTACTAATTGCCCTTTTTGTAGAAGACTAATTATGGATTAGCGTTGGCTATCTGTAAGTGGCTCGACATATTACTGGCCAGTTAATACCAAGTACCAACTTGTGCTCTAACAGTCAAATTTACGTTAGGGAGTTTGAAAATATAATAACACATTCGCTTCATGGGTAAACAAAAAATTCAATTCGATTTTTTTAAAAAACGAATAATAATAAATTATACTAGGTTGTACTTCTTTTTTTCTGTGTAATGGCATTTATATATTTCCGCAATCATATATTTTATCACAATAACAAACACCAACTGTACTTCATAATTTTGTTTCACGCAACATAGTGCATAACTGATAATTAGAGATGAACTGAAAAACAAAATCCATCTATAATCTTCACAGCAGCAATTAATAATTATATTCTCTAGATCTACCTCAAAACAATTGTTTAATTAATTATATTAAGTATAATATAGATAATATAGACAATTATTTCGAAAAGAAACGAAGGAGTGCATTGCTGAGTTAATTTCGTAAGTAAATCATTAGTTGAAGTATTTAGTAAATAGAGGAGGGAAACCCGGGAACAAGAAACAATGTGGACAAAGCGATTACTCTAGCTCTAATACTATGTTATCTGTATATGTAGTCAAACAATTATTTAAATATGTTGAGTGGAACTTAGACCTAAAAACGTTGATATGAGTAATAAATAATCTAAAATTGTTCTTGTTTTTGAAGCGTAAGCTTGTGTAAATCTTAAGCTAGCTAGTGAAATTCTATAAATGTCAAGTGGATGTCTAGAGGAAGAACTGCTGCATCAAATGATCAAAGAAAGGTGTCAAAAGGGGAAAAAAACTAATCTCTAAACGTGGATAATTTGCTCCATTTGAAAATTGTCAAGTCAATGGCCAAAATTGTAGCCTACTCATTGCAAATCCCTAGTGTCGTAGCTTTCCTATATTCACAATCCCAACTCAAGAATATTATATACTCCTTCCCTCCCACAATTATTGTCCAGTTTGAGTTTTGATTTTTAGGTCAAATTGTACTAAAAGTGAAATCTCAAACTGGACAATAATTTTGGGACAGAGAGAGTACAAATTTACAGTATTTTGTAGGATGCATGATTAGGAAGGCATTTTTTTTTTTTTTTTTTGCAATGCTACCGTGAAATAAACAAGGTGCCTCTTCATGGATCAATAGTTTTTCTATAGAAAATCGATCAATTAGATAGAATTATATTGTTCGAGAGAGATATCAAAGTCTCGTTATAAATCTCTGAAACACATTTCTCATATCTCAGATTACAATTGCAATTTGTTGTGATTTACAGTTTTGGGAAGAAAAAAAAAATTCCTAGAGAGCAATTAGTATATAATAAATATTAATTAATGGTGGTGACAACTTCCAATAACAGAGCTCCAGATCTCTTTGCAAGATGCTTCAACAAAACTGGGAAATAAGAAACCTGTACATGGTTGATGGTACAAACTATAGTTAGTTATTCCTCATTCATAAAAGAAAAGAGTAACGATACGCATCTCTGCAAACGCGTTATTTTTTCTCAGAAAGCTTGCTTTTATCACATTTGAGAAAGTAGAAGTCAGTTTACCTTCTAAAGTTAAAACAAGGAATCAGTTCATTCCATCGATCTCACACCTTTCATCTTGTCTGGAAGTTGAAAGATCTAATGGCTAAAGCGAAAGTCACAGCAAACAACAGACAGAAACCGACCACTGCGATCCCAGCAAAAGGCAAAAATTCATGCCTGTATCCAAACTGATCCTTGAGCAACTGTTTTATTGGCACTGAATGAACACCACCAGCAAGTTCAACATGTGTGCTCAGGTCTCCGTATTGCGATGTTAAAAGTCCATACAATGTCCATGCTATTGGATTTGCCCAATAGTACCATCTCCACCAGATAGGAATTCTCTATAAGAAAAAAGAACCAACTAGAATGAGCAAGAAGTAAAAATCTTGGCTAAAGAAGAAATATGGACATCAGCTATCAGCTGATGCACTATCACAAATTCCGTCTGCTATTGTTTCTGTTAGTTTGGGTCATATGAAAATGCCAACATGAAATCATGTTTGTTCTACGGAAAGAATAAATATTCTGATGCTGGAAAGATTATAAGGAGTCTTTGATTACCACACGCGATATCATGAAGCCGCTGAAAAGATTCCACATCATATAGAAAGGTGCGCCAATGATTGCAGCAATGTTGTGATTCGGTGTAACAGAAGTCGTCATCATCCCGAAGAAAGTGAAGTATAGCAATGTAAAGTACATAAAGTATATGTAGCATAAAACCTTCCAGAGGTTCAACTCAAAAGATGCCAAGAAGTAGAAGATTGAGCTATAAATGAGGGACTGCATAAATACATAGGGGAGTTCAATTGTAACCTGCAAAATGGAAACACATTTCGTCGTTCTTGAGTTATTCAATTCAGGATTTGGATTGCATCTCATTTCTATCAAGAAAAGAGAATAGAAACTTGAAACTTGCCTGCGCAAATGCGAAGGGTAAAGCAGAATACATCCCTGCAGCCCGCTCTCTATATGACACGAACCTTTCAACATAAACGACAGGTTGAACAGATGTCGCATTTGTTATTCCAATAAACAGCACGGCAGAATACATGGATCCCATAGCATTTAAAATATCTTGTTGATTTTCCCTGTCGAAGAGTAACAACCAAATTAAAATGTAAATTTCTTTTTCTTATTCCATTAACAAAGATGACTTCAAACTTTGCCATCAAGAGAAGGATTTGCAATTTGTAGACATAGTAAGATCCGGGTTTCCATGTGTCAGGAAGATGTATATAAGTTGCAATAGATGACAATGTTTTCTATACTTAGACACTAACCTTCTAGAACCGAATTTCCAGCATATTGTTCCAAACATAAAAGAGATGACAACTGTGTAGAAAAACCGAACAGCAGTATATTGAGGGTTTCTCCAGTAAGAAAGGTTCTGCTTCCAAAGGCATGCCATAAACTGACTGAAAAATGATCGAGAATATTTGCTTGGGAATCTCAACTCAGTAGAACCACCTGTCGGCTTGCTTAACTCATTAACCAAATCCATGTTTTGCCTGAAATGGTTAGGGAGTAACTTAAAGGAGGATAGTACGCCTCAAAAGTGAAGAGGAAAGAAGGATGGAATGGCAGCATACCGACACAGATCTGATCTGTGATAAATTTCAGCAAAGTCCAGGCTGAGGTGAATTTCTTCAGCTGGAGAAGTAACCTCAAGAATCCAAGCAGCAGGGTTCTCTCCTTGTCTGATTTTTGGAACCCCATGTATGGACTTCAGAAATGAAGATCGGGTCATCAGAGATTGTGTGAAGAGAATCAGATTATATTTAACAAATTGACAAAAAGATTCAGACTACCTCAAAATATTGAATAAGTTTGCAAGATTTCTCGCCCAATGGACCAGCATATATCAGTTTTCCACCTCTTTTCATGAGTAAAAGCTAAATAGAAGAAGAACAGATGAGATCATATTTTTTGAACAAGAGTTAGTTCCGTTAAGGAAAAAACAGGAAAAGACTACTGATCAGAATGTAAACTAGCATAAGCTTGAGCTCGCACACGTCACAATTATGAGTTCAATAAGACTGCATTCAAGAGCTTGAAAGATATTTACCTCATCAAAGGATTCAAAAATATCAATGCTAGGCTGGTGAATTGTGCAAACAATTGTCCGTCCGGTATCAACTATATTCCTCACAGTTCTCATCACTATTGCAGCTGACCTTGCATCCAAACCTGAAGTAGGTTCATCCATAAAGACAATAGAAGGATTTGCAACCAGCTCAACAGCTATTGTCAGCCTTTTACGTTGCTCGGTTGACAAGCCATCCACCCCAGGTAGACCAATTAAAGCACCTCTTAATGGAGTCAGCTCAACTAGATCCATAACCTCATCTACAAAAGCCTGCATTTAATTTTATCCTTGCTATCATCGCCAGGAATAAAGTAAAAATAGTTACTTCAGAATAAAGGTGACAATTAAGAATTACCCTCTGTAATCTTGAGTCAACTTTTGAAGATAAACGTAGGGAAGAAGAAAATAGAAGAGACTCATGGACAGTCAAACATGGGGAATGTATGTCGCTCTGCTCACAGTAACCAGAAATCCTTGCAAAGGTCTCTTGCTTCTTCGGATATCCAGAAATGTAGATATTGCCTTCAACATATCCACCCGTTTTTCTACCGGCCAAAACATCCATCAGGGTTGTTTTTCCAGCACCACTGACACCTACAAGCGCAGTGAGCACCCCTGGTCTGAAAGCACCAGTAACATTGTTCAAAAGTTGCAATCTGTCGTCCAGCATACCTTGTTGCTTCAGTTCCTGTAACAAAATGTCGACTCATATAAGCTGGTTTAACTTCCAGCATCAGGAGAAATTCCATATCAAGGCGACGATATGAGTTGGTTGTATACCAGTGGAACATCGACATAATAACTAATATTAGTGAAGCACATTGAAAGAGGTTCAAAAGGAAGAACCATGCCTCGGCTATTGTTGGTTTGCGTTCCTGACAAAAGATGAACCATGTTAGAAATTTTGTTCATATATCATATGTCTTGAATATGATCCACGGTGAGATGTTTCAACACAAACCAGTATATGAATGGGAGTGTTGCAGAAAGTCACCCAGTGAAATGTCAGCTAGTGAATTCTCATGATCTTTTTTTTTGGGGGGAAGTCCATCCCTGGAAACAACTACTTGTGCATTACCAAGAGCTGCATAAGATGCATTCTTAAACATTAGTGTTCTGATAGGAAGGTACCTGTTGCTTTATATTAGTATGTGCGATACGAAATTCTCAAATGTCTTCCAATTTCTTTCCGCACCAAGTAAGAGGTATTTCTGGAGTTCTACTTCTTGAGAAATTTTAAGTTTCAATCTAGAAATATCTCTAGAAAATCAAACTATGTTCACTGGTTCTTTCATCAGAAATTAAAATTTCAAATAGAACGTTTTATTTCCTCTCTGCATTTAATGATCAGTTAGAATCAAAGAACAGCAAGAATCTGAACTATTCCCGGTGGAAGAAACTTACGGTTCAGGTAAGTCAGGAATATGGTGAACAGCAAGTTGAACAATAATGTATATCCCATCAAAGCACCAACACCAATCCAATACCAATAATTCTCAGGAAATAAACTGCGAACCTTCAGTAATGTCAACCCCAAGGACAAGGAAGTGTTATTCCCTGCTTTCTACAGATATCAAAACAAAAATGTCATATATACAGAGGGGAACAGAAAGTTCAGTTTAGAATCAAAAGTGCACACCATAGTGACAGAAATGTTGGTGTTTTCATCCATTGTACTGCAACTAATAACTTGATGAAAATAAGGAGATGCATAATTTGATGGGAAAGGAGCAGAAAAGTGGATAATATGCAAGACAAAATGTAGCTGCTTCAACTATGTCATTGCTTGATGTTAAAACTGATTATTGCCATATAAATTTTGTCATTGAGGAAGTTTATAGTGCAAAATATTTGCATTTCCAACAGATTGGTCGCCAATCTTCAATTTTATATCCATCCATCTGTTCTTTGTAGATCAATGGACAATGTTGATGATGAAGCAAGAAGGACAGAGATATATGTACCTTATCCCAGGAATGGCCAAGAAATTCATTAACTGAAGCTGCATTCTGGGCATACATCAGAGGAGAAAACCAATAACCCCATATCCACCAACTTGGTATGCTATCTGCACAATGAAAACTACTTAGGGAGAAAAATCTCGGAGACTGTATATGTTTAGCTAAAATCAGAAATTGGCTTATCAAGCTTATTAAAATCACATATGAAGAACTATGCATGTATATTTTGTTTTTATATATAAAAAAAGATTATACTCTTTACCTCTTGATAGAATGAAACCTCCAAGGGCCATCACTACAAGCATTGCGAAAGATCCAAATGTGTTGGCAACCACAAGATGTCTGCCTAAGGATGCCATCACACGAAAAAGTGCTATTGACATTTGGTGCAGGACAAAGTAAAGAAAGAATTGCCGTATACATCTGCATAAAATTTAAATTATCTGAGCAGTCCTCTAATGAATTGCAAATGATACAGATATCCTAATGCCCATAATTTCAATATTAATTTACCTTGTTATTTGAGGGTCGAAACCAACTGAATAATATGTGACTGCAACCCATAATATTGATTCTATAAGTGAAGTTGGAATGCTGAGAATCCATGAAGGAAGAGTGTATATCCAGCAAGGATAGAAACGTTGATCTCTGTGCTTGTAAAGAACTGGAAGTTTGGTTATCAACATGGGGACCTCCAAAAATCCATTGAAAAGAATCATAAGTATGGCGAAGTATATAGCACCAAGGAATACACCACCATCATCAAGTGTTTTATGATGCATTGTTGTTCGGAAAAATACGCTCGTCATGATTAGAATGATCAAAAGAAGCTGCCAGATACAACAATTGATCAGTACTGATGATCTGCTTTAATCAGGACCATCAAAAACAATGAAGTTCAGACAAACTCCAGAAAAGAATTACCTGCACAAACTTGAATATGAAAACAAATGAATTGCGCTTTAGTAAAAGCGTTTGCCAAGCAAAGCTGATCTGGAGAAGGTGAGTCCTGCTCATGGCATATGCATTCCTCGACAAAGCAGCTGGGTGACTGTAGCGTTTATCGAATGGAACAGACAACTCCACAGCCAAAGCTTTACCAACACTAAATGATTTATAGCCTTCTACAAATTTAGTCACAGGCATGTATTGGTAAAGACCATCGAGAAACCAATACTGTCCTTGATCCTTTTCAGATAAGACCTAATTTTCAAAATTTCAGCACTTAGTGAAGGAGCAACTATTTAAGGAGCATCATTGAAGTTGGATCATTTAATAATTGGGCACATACCTCTTGTAGAAAGTCAGGAACATTTTTTCTTGGTGGGCACTTAAATCCCATAGATTCAAAGAAAGCTAGAGCAGCTTCCCTGGGGCCCTGATAGACAATTTGTCCCTCACTTAAAAGAATAATGTCATCAAATAAGTCATAAGTTTCTTGATCAGGTTGCAATAGGGATACGATCGCCGTCCCATCAAATGCATGAGTTGCATGCCTCAGATATCTGATAATTTGATGAGTAGTGGAACTATCTAGTCCAGTTGATATCTCATCCATGAGAAGCACACGAGAGGCACCCATTAGCATTTCAGCTGTTGAAAACTTGCAGCAGTCAGCATATAAATTTGCAAAAATTCATCCAATACTGAAAGAAAACAGAATAACTACCAGTGGTAAGCCGCTTCTTTTGACCTCCTGAAATACCTTTCATCATTTCATCTCCAACAAGTGTATCCGCACATATATCCAACCCTAAAATCTTTGAAGATGTTTGAGAAGGATATACGAATAAGATAAAAAAAAAAAAAAAAAAAAATCCATGCATGCCTTTTGTTCTAGATGCATTATGATTTATGACAAGGTTTATTACTCAATTTAACAAAGTATGAGAATGTCACATACCTTCATCACATACTCTGCAATAAGACTTGTATTTTCTCCCAATGCTACTCCCTAGGAGAAAAGAAATTGTATATATGATCTTCAATTAATCCTATGCATGTTGTTTTCAGAAAACCAAAGACTTCAGCTAGCCAGCCACATGGCATACCTTGATAAACAAATCAAGTTCTTCATCAGGTAGGATTCCAGCATCCTTTTCTCTTCTGAGAAGTTCCATGAGCATATCTTTCCCAGCCAGGCATATTAAGACACAAATTAGGACACATTTATCAGGTTTTGGTAAAATGGGAATTCAGCAGGTCTAAAGGAGATTACCTTGCCTGTATCCTAGACCTTGGCAAACTCCTGAGAACTCAAGTGTCTCCCTAACTGTCATCTCGCCCATATGCCAGTCATGCTGGCTTACATATGCAGAAGTCCTCTGAGGAATGAACTCCCTCATATTGTGGCCGTTGTAAGTAACTTTTCCTGATATCTTAAGTGCAAGGTAACCATATTACTAGACATAAAATAAAAACTATTTACGGGATTAAACACAAGACATGCTGCTGTTCAGGACTCAAGGATGGATTCTGGAATTTAACTGTTGGTTTCTATATGAATGAGGCTTGAATGGCACGATACCTGCAAACCAGGTCCAAGTCTATGCGCAAGAGCCAAAAGTAATGTTGTCTTTCCGGAGCTTGGAGGGCCTAGAAGTAGGGTTAGCCTGAATGACAGTATCACATAATACAGTCATAATTGAACATACAATTCATTCAAATGTTAGTAGAAAGATCAGAACTACCTGGAAGGCTGGATTATGCCACTGATGTTTTTCAGGATGGACAACTTCTTCCTTTTGCTTGGAAAAATCCTGAGTTGCCTCAAAAATGCCTTCATTTCATTTGATTGATGGTATTCATTCTGTTAGAACAAAATTGGCTGAAAGCATTCTTCTTTAGACCGAAAAATGGTACCTTACCTCTGTCATGTTACAAAGAAAATTGGGAATTGTCGGTAATGCTCTACTTCCAACATGGACAAAAGCATCCACATTGAGGTTCTGAAATCGAACCTCAACTTTTGGAAACTCCAGATCAACCCTGTGAAATTTTCAGAATACACTTAGTGGTTGTTTGCTCAATGTTGGAACATTGGCAGTAAGGGTCAGAAGTCTGAACCATTCAAACAACACCATGATGTTAGCAGAAAATTTGTTATGAAATATCAGCGGTCCACTTACAGATAAAGGAGCTCTTATCAGTTAGAATGTAAAGATTATCATACAAGAGTGGACTTTTCAGCAAAAGTATGACAGATTTCTACGACTAATTTTTTTTTTTTCCCTACAACCAATTTAAGCTCCAGAGAAACAACAATATATCCCCACAAATTCAGATATTGAAGGTCGACTGAAATCCTAACATGCTGATAAATCCATCCCATTAAAGAAACAATGACTAAATTTGTCTATTTTGAAAGCCAAATGAACTCTATCTTGGAAGCATCCACCAGGAGATTTTGTAGAATCCATAATTAACTTGGTAATATGCAGGCCAAACATTTTTTGGGGCAAATCCGAAAAAGGGTCAATTGTTGTAACAATTTTACAGTGAAGTACTAACTTCTTAATAGACTAATACATATAGAGAGAAGTACCGACATGTCAATTCATTTGAGAGAAAAATGTCATCCCCAAAAAAAAGTAAACCCAACTGATCAATTGAGCAGAACAATTCATAAAACAAATTGCAGAGTCCATAAAGTACAAAATGAGAGATAGGTTTTTCCATACTAACACTTTCAGTAATACTAAAGGGGTATTGATGAATTTTTTACTTACGAATCAAATCTTTGCCTGACTTTCTTAAAGAACAAACCCATATCTTCATTCATGGAATTCACCAACTTATCCAAAACTTGCTTCTGTTCTTGATCATTAAGTTTATCCACATCCACCAGCGAAAACCCGCCAGAAAGGTTGCGAAAAATCGAAGTCCTGGCTCTAACATAAGTAGGAGACCTTTGCAATGCAGCCAACCAAAGTGCCTCATCATCATCATCCCCAATTCTCCTTTCCATTGACCTCGCAAATATGTTTGCAGCTGAGGCATTCCACATTTCTCTGCTTTCTACAATTCTGCAACACTATTTTGCAAGAAAGCCCACCAAAAAAAAGGGAAAAAAACAGAACTTTGATGGGTTCCAATTAACAAATTGGTGTAATAATGGGGTGATTTTAAGGAGGCCTTAAAAGAAGGTTTAAGGTTAGATAATAACAATGAATTTGGGATGTGTATATTCAACCAAACTTATTAAGGGGGGCTTGAAATGGTGGTTGACTGCTTTAATTAGTTTTCTTGATGAGTAGTAATGTTTCGCCATTGATGGAAAGGAGGAGAAAGCAGGGGAGGTTTAGTGACAGCTGAGAAGTGGGAAAGTTTTGGTAAGACTAGATTTTTGAAGGGTTTCAATTTTCAAAAGAGCAGTTAAAACGGTTGAGAATAAAAGAAAAGAACATTCTATTTTTGGTGGAATTTCTGAACCTAATTTTCTTTGGCACATCTTTGTACTTTGCAGACTAGGAAGGATATTTAACCATTAGTGTCTGATTGTTCGGTCTAAATTTTCATGTTTAGTTCAAATTATACTGAAATAAAAGAATTCAAATTTGACAATAATTTTGGAAACGGAAGGAGTATTTAGTAACCATCAACATGTGTAATTAGGTGATTTAGATTACCTGAGTGAAAAAAAAATTTTCTTTTGCGATACATTATATATTATCTCAATTTTTCAATATAAATATAATATATTGTGGATTGATATTTGTAAACGTTACATTTTATCTTGTGTGCGATAATTTAAAGCGTACTTTTAAATAAAATAAGAACTCTTCAATCGGTCAAAAAAATTCAATACATTTGTTGGTAATACATAGTAGTTTTTTATTTACATATTCAACACCAAAACAAAAGATGTTGTTGGCATTTATGTAGCATAATAATTAACAAGAAGAAAAAAGTAGCCCACTTAAAAATCCTTAGGAAAATGAAGTCTAGAAATTCTACTTCAGGGTCGACAAAGAAAAATTCGCTTAAATTTCCACATCTTTTATAACATTAGAGTATACCAGATGGATTAGACACACTTTGCGCGTATACTATGTATAATGACTTAGTGTAAATTATATAAAAGAATTTATTTTAATAATTAAAATGGTAAATTACATTACGTCTAATATATTATTTACAAAATATGTTAACAAATTTATCAGTAATAAAAAATTTATCACTAAACGTGTCACTTCTTATTTTAACAAAAATGATATATAGTATTCTGATTGTAAAAAAAGGGCAAGACCAGTGAAAAATGAAATAAAATCAAGTTTCTATATCACAAAAAAAAAACTTTAAAAAAAATATCTAAAACAAAAACTAAGATTGGAAAGAAAAAGAAGGAGATGAGTAATGGAAGATGATAATCTCTTATAGAATCGAGATTGAGAGGTAAAAGTAAATATTTTGAAGAGCAAAAAAAAGAAAATAGAAGCGACTAAATCTTACACTCTTTGGAATTATATATGTAAATTTACGTTACGTGACTTTTAATATTCTTTTGAGTTACGGAAAAATCTAAGCTATCACTGAGAAACCTATTATTTTTTTAAAAAAGAAAAGAAGAAAAAGAAGAAGAAGAGAAGAAGAAAATACATTAGGAATTTAAAGGGTTAGAATCACCAAAACCGTTTAAAGGCCAATCAAATTCACCTAATAATAAGAAATTATTTTTGCAACGTTAAAAATAAAAATTAATGGTTAGAATCATTAAAATCATTTACCAATCAAATTCACCTAATAATGAAAAATAATTTCTTTGTAATCTTGAAAACAAAAATTAATAGAAGGGGGATCAAATGTCAGTATATTGTTGGATAATAAAGGACCATTTATTATTATAAAATTAGATATAAGTGAATAATTTATTATCATAAAGATAATGAGTAACAAGTGAAATAATAATGAAATAAATAGGAGAAAATGTTTATTGAAAAATGCATTTGACTAAATTAGATGGGGGTTATAAAATTGATAACTTGTATGCAAAAATAATTTACTAAATAAATGAGTGAGAAGGACTACCAAACTCTAAAAATTATTCTGCAATTATAATATAGAAGAGTAATAAGTGAAATAATAATGAAATAAATAAGAGAAAATATTTATTGAAAAATGCTTTTGACTAAATTAAATGGGGGTTATAAAATTGATAATTTGCATGGAAAAATAATTAACTAATGATAAATGAGTAGGAAGGACTACCAAACTCTAAAAATTATTTAGCAATTATAATATAATACGATGATTACTACATTCTCCTCCAACTATTATGGTGCCTTATGCATAGAGTATTCAAAGTGACTCCTCCAACTAATACCAATTTGACATGAATTTAGAATATGATTTATTAGTAATTTGGGTTCCGTTAAATGAATATAAATTTGACATACATTTTTTACTACTAATGCTTTTCGTGATAATTTTTTTTAAAAAAAAAACTGTATTATTTTTTAGAAGTAAAAAAGTAGCATTTAATATTCACAAATAAAACGATATTAATCCTATGGTATATGTAAGATAAAAGTATTTCTTTTTTGAAAAAAAAAAAAAAAGAACGGTACTTGTAAATAGAATAGATAATGTTAATTGTTAAAAGAAAATGAATACATAATTCTTATTACACAAGATTGGAACTTGTATATTGGGATTACGTATTTTCCATTCGCGAGATGTTTATTTGAATTTCTAGGCTCTGTTTTCTTTATTGTACTTAAAAACGTACGAAAACAAAAAAATGTTAGACAGAACTAGGAAGTTTGAACCATCTTAAGCGGCTCATAATTGGGAGAATAAGGATAAGTCTATTCTTACCATCTTAAGCGGTTCATAATAATATCAATACCCCAGATTTGCTTTTCAATTGTGTGATTTGCCTCCAAATGCAACGGCTTCTAGTTAGCGGTGCTTAACGACTTGAATACTCAAGGTGGACTTTTTTTAATGACTTGAATACTCAAAGTGGATTGTTTTTGTCGGGATAAAGGGAATAGTAATCTTTAATAAAAATAAATGATGAAAAGAGTCATAATCTGAAGCTTGGACATTATTTCATACAAATTAAAGAGATAATAAAAACAACAATCATGCGTCTATAATACTCCTAATTATTATAAAATAGTTTACTAGTGTTTACCCCGTATATTACACGGGAAATACATTACGGGTGTAAAATGTGTTTGGTAGGAGATGAGTAGTTTATACTCGTTAAATATTATTGTCATCGTAAAAAAAAAAAATACACATGGAGTTTTTAAATTTTACTGTTTTTAGTACAAATCTCAAAACTCAATGTGGATTAATTTTCTAGAACGGTTGGAGAAACAAAGTTTAATGGAGTTTAACTATTATTAATATAATCAAATTTTAAATTTTAAAAAATCAATAGAGTTTAACTATTAATTTAAAAAAATTAAAATTTCAAAGTTTTAAATAATAAAATATTCACTAAGCATTTCTAAATTATAAAATAGTCAGTAAAATTTGAGATATTATTAAAATATGAAAAAAGATTAAAAATAAAAATAATAATCACATTATTTTTTGCTTGATCTCTCGTAAATTTTATAAGTTATTTTCTTAGTTAAATTTCAGAATTAAAATAATTTTTAAAAAATTATGATTCACTTTACCTTTGGAAAAATTAGCTACAATCTTATCAACTTTCCAAATTTATTAATTGTTTATTATAGATGGAAGTAAAATATGAGCCAACCAATATCTATTTGGAAAGAAAAAAAATTCATTTCGATGATAATATAAATAACTTTTACCCTTCCATTTTACACATGACCAATCTCTTACTGAATATCATATTGTATTTATTTTTTAAAAAATTATAATTAACTTAATTATCTTAGGTTTTTTTTGTTAAGATTTGGTGCAACCAAATTTTTTTTTTTTTATTCTAAGTCATATCAAATTGTTAGCACATAACGGTAATATCTATTTTTTTTATTTCAACTTAATTGCATTTCTCAATTTCATACCACATCAGCTTTTTTCATCCTCTATTAATATATATATATATATATATATATCTTATGTTTATTATGTTTTCTTACTGAAGATAAAACTTAAAAGTGTATTTTCACATTTATTATGTTTTTCCAATTATTATAAAACTAGATGTTAAACCGGTGGGTTACACAACGCAAAAAAAATCACGTTTAATTATAGTAAATATGAAAATGTGTGTATTAGTGTATATATTAAAATGGAATGTGACGCAAATGTACTGTAGTGTATTCAGAAAAGAAAATAAAAGTCTTCAATATATTGAAACAATTAATTTCAAAAGACAACTCTTTCTCATATTTGAATGATTAAATAGTCTTTTGTATATGGTGTAAATTATGAGTTATGCAGCACAATGGTCACCATTTCCAGCAACCCTTTCCTTTTCCGAACAGAGTGTTGTGCAATGTATTTTTTTTTTTAATTTCGGATGATGGTTTTTGAAGAAGATAATGTTTCGTTGTTTGGGAGAAAACGAACTAATTAAAATTAGGAAAATTTGCTAATTACCTATCCGTTTGGATAATCAGTTTTTTAAATTTAGTGATAGTCATGGATTACCTACTCAGCGACAACAGTGTTGAGAAACCAGCGTGTCCAGTACATTTTTTCTTTGAAACTGGTAGACTCTCTGGAGCTGGAGTTTGGTACTGCTTTATGGGAAGAAGCTATTTTTAATCAGCAAGTTTTTTAATTTGTAATTAAATTTTAGTAGAACTTTTGAAACTGGACATTTTATTTGGGAGATAACATTTCTAAAATTAATTTTTTTGGGTTATGAAGAGTTCTATTTGCCATGAATGGATCTAGAAATAAGGAACTTTCTTGTTTTTATGTGGTAAATGGGGAATATATGAAAGGGCCTAAGTTAGGCTACTACACGAAGAGAACATGATATACCCAAAATATCACAATTCAAGTTCAGTCAATATCTAACACCTTCTGAATTTTTCACTATCGATGAGATCAAACATTTACTACATAATT